CTCAGCGTAGCACAGACGGCATCTGCTGGGTAACTGAAGAACATCATGTGGCTGCTCTGAATATTTCAGTTACTGCAAAAAAAAAATAAATCAAGTCTTGATTCATGTGAACAATTTGTCCAGGGTGACCAATAAATACTTTTGATATTTTATTGTAATGCTACATTTTTTTAACAAATAAAAAGGTAACAAATATATGAAGTTTGACTAGTTTCTCATGAACTGGGTGCAACATTTTTCTACAACAATGCTAGTCTTGAAGCCAAATTTGAACAATGCTGGGCTTATTCTGTAGCAGAAACATCCTCTTATTTGGGTCATTTTTCATTTGCTTAGGGGGAAGGCAATGGGGGAAACTCTGATCTGTTACATTTTGTTGTGATTGCTTATAACAACCACAAAAAAAGCATTGCTGCTCTGGTGGTGGCACAGCAAAGCAGATACTGCTTAGGTGCTCAACAGAGTGCAAGGTAAACAATTATCTCTCATTTTTTGTGATTTAAGCGGTGAACACAGCATTGCAATCTACAATCTGAGCCTAGTCCTGGTTATTAACTACCCAGTTATTAAGTACCATTCTTAAGCCTTATACTTAATTAATAAACTCTATTTATTTATTTGCTGAAGGATTAAGTAAAGGCATACCTGGAAGGTCCTGGGTGGTAGACTTTTTTGGACTTAGCACTTTGAAACAATAGGGTAGCAGATGTAATACATGAATGCTGATGATCAGTTACAGCCTTTGTAAATGTAGTCTCCAAATTTATACCGTTAGCAAGCAGATATTTGCAAGACAAAAATCACCAAATCTACTTCTGTGATCCTACTCACTGCTGAATGCTAATGGCATCCAGATACAAAGGAAGGTGAACACATGCTCCTTGTGTTCTACACAGAAAACTGTAATGAAAAAATCTTTGTGCTCAATGGAGTATGGCAAATATATGGGCAGCATGCCTTATACCACCAGTTGGACCGGGTTCCTGTCAGTTCTGGGATAAAATGGGGCACTCTACAGTCCTGACACATGAAGAGGTGTGGAGGCCTAGCAAAAGATTTTCTATTGGCCTGTCACATCCTTTTCCACCATACACAAAAGCATTCATATATACTGATGTTAGTCACACTGGAATCTTCTCTTAAGAGTGTTTTGCTTGGGCTGGGAAAGGACACCCCATTGGCCCCAGTGGACTGATCTTGTGGAGGTGATTTTTATGACTTTTTGTGAGATGTCACAAGGTATGGGGCTCTGCTGTGGTGGGAAAGCACACCCAGAACCCAAGGATATCATACAGGAATTCTGAAATTTTTGAACTGCTGCATCCTCGTACTAGCTCCTTTCATCTGTTCTTACAGGACAGCCATTGTGCCCCTATTCCTTGGAGAGCCTGCTGCTAGTTGAACTGTTAATACTTTCCTGGACTGCCAGGCTCCTCTTTGCCACTCATTGCTAGGTCTAGCATCCCAAACCCATGCTAAACTTGGCAGAGGTTGTTAAACCAAGCATTACCATCCTGCCACCCCTGCCTCACCAGTTCTGGAAATGTATAGGCTAGAGCCTCCAGGCACCTCAACTTATTATGAATAGCTTTGTGCTAATGGTCATTATGTCAACAGATAATTTTGCTTCACATCAACTGTGTTTTGTAACCCTCAAAACCTAGGATTTGCAAGAAAAGGGGACGTTGCAGTGTTGATTGCTCATTAGCTTGTATTTTAAGACACAGACATTGTAAAAACAAATAAAAAGCTGCTTAAAGTATGTTTTTCTTTTCTTTTTAAGATATGTATAACCATAGTAAATTTGAGATGCAATCCTAATCTCAATGAAAGTTACAGGTTATTCCTACAATGTATAACTATCTGTTACTAATTCAAAGATGCATTTATTTAGCTTCATTCTTCTAAAGTTTTTGCAAAGCCTTTGCCAGCCTGGACTTTACAGACCCACAGGATAATCCTTCCTTAAATAAAAGGCAATAATGTGTATTCTGACTATATAATGATAGTTAGTAGTGGTCTCATGAAATCCAAAGCTAATGGCATCTGTATGCTAAGGTGTCCTCCAAAATACCATCCTATATAGAACTGAGTTGGCCTTGATTTTCCTCTTCCCAGAGAAAGGAAATATTTTGCCTGGAGTTCACATAAAATGTGTTTTTGTAGCAGCAAGTCATGAATAAATAATAAAGAAAACCTTTTGCTTTGTACCATAAGAGCTACAATGGCATTACCACTTTTTCCTCATCTAGACTGGAAAGACTCCAATTAATACACACAATATTTGGAATGACATATACAAGTGAGTTTTACTACATGAAGGGATTAAAGAAAAAGATTAAAATGTAAGTGTGCTAAAAGCCTGTCATGTGCATAAACATCCATATCTCCTGGAAAGCAGTGTGAAATATGCATACTCAGAGTGCCACAGACCTTCTTTGCTCTAGAGTATGGAAGAGGTTGTGTTGCAATGCTTGTGCAATGGGCCTCCTGGGCGCCTGAGCTATGCAGTCAACCAGCAGGTAACACCTAGATGCTCCAGTCAAGGTTATCAACAGGTTAAGTGAAGCACGATTTACCAAAAATCTCAACATTATCTGTAATTTTGAGGCACTAGGCAAATTTCAGAATTTCAGGAATGTTAGATGCATGAATGGAGAGAAACCTGGTAATTTTAAAGGTTCTTTGAAAAGGCTAACTGGTGCTGCCATATGGAAAAGAAAAATCAAGTTCCCAGATGTCCCAATTAGGTTAGTGACAGGATGGTCTCTTTGGTTCCCTCAGGTGCACTTTTGGTGCTTAAGCTGCATCCCACTTTTTTTTAACCCCTATTGTTAAGTTGTTCTACTGTATAACCCTACTTACTCTTCATGTCCAGTTGCTAAAAACACAACTCTACTCTAAAAACTTTAAAATTTGAGTCACAATACCCAACATTGTCACAGTAGCCATGTAAAATGCAACACAGAACATAGAGGTAACACAGGCAGAAAGCTACATCCTGAAGGTAAATTTGGGCTTTTCCTCCTCACACACGCTAATAGTGGCAAGGCCAAACTTGTCTTCTGTTGAGAATCTTTGTCTTCATTTGGTGCTTAACATATGAAGAGTTAAAATCAAGTATGTCACTCTGGCAGTAGCACCATAAATAGAGCTGGCTAAGTGCTTCTTCAGGCTGTTTCTTACAGCCTATTAACTATTTCTGAAGAGTGTGTTGTTATAATGAGTGCTTATAAGGCTTTCTTACCAACAAAATTCTACTCTTAAGCATCGAACTTCAACTTTCATACTTCTGAGTTCAAAATTTCATCTGCAAAGTTTGTACTTTGACTGAAGTATGCAAAAGCTTCCAGATTCTATTATTAGCTTACTAAGATAAATAGACCCAAATGGACCTCCATGGTAAAATAGAAAAAAAATACAAGAGGAAAAAAACCCAACACTTAACTGCCAATATTTTTAAGGCAGTGACAAAATAGAAGCTCCTTAACACTTATTTTCAAGCTTCAGTATGTTGACATATCTTTCAGCTAACACAAAATGCATTATCTTCAGGAACATAAATTCCTTCCTAGATCATTACAAGAACTGTTTAGCAGTCCTAATCATCTCCTGATCTATTGTGTAGTCACACAGCAGTATCTGTGTCCCCCCTGTATCTTCTGCACATTACACTTGACCTTCCTATGACATGATCCTTTCCAGTTACTGCATGGGTGTAGATTAAATTTTGGCTACCCTGTAGCAGAAACACATAGATACATCAGGTTCCAGGGAAGAGAGCCAGAAACGATCAAGCAGGCAAGGGAGGATTCTCAAGAAGAGAGCTAGGTAAAGGACAGCAAGTCAGCATGCTTGAGAATAGGCATGGAAAAAGACAGTCCCAGATGGTGATGGACTATTGAAATGTTTGGTTTGGTATGAATTTCCTCAGCGATTCTGTCTTGATGAAATAAGTAACGTCCTGAGGTAGTGCCTGCTCATCCTTTTAAATGAAGGTTATACAATAATAATGTCTAACAAACAAAACTGCACAGAACAAGATTTAAAGTGAAAAGTTAGACTGCCATCAGTACAACTAAGGAGAAATAAAGCTCTCATATGGGGTGGCAAAGCAAGTGCAGGAGAAGTTGCACAACAGCTTTTCAGAAAGAGTTCTTCATAAAGATCAGCTGCATCTTCTAGAATAAATGTTAGTGAGTGGGTGAGAACAGGTACACTCAAGACAAACAAAACTCAAGCACTGTTAAGCCATCTTACAATCATTAAATAAGACCTCATCCCACCCTCCAAATGGCACACTCACAGCATGTCCTGCTACAGATCAAAGAGCACTTAAATCTTATCCTAGTGAAGGGTCCTGGTTTTCCTTGGTTTAAAACTGCAAATCTGGGAAGAATACAGCCCCATTGGTACAAGCTGAAAGACGTACATTATTTTGTACATCCTGAGGATCCCTGAGTGATCCCTGTACAGGCTTCCAGAACATGGACCTATAGTTTGCATCTTGATACAGACAACATATAAACTATGTATCTCACACCAGTCTTATTTTTGCAGTACTCAAAGGATCACAATGCACTTTATTTTCTCAGCACATTAGCTCACCTGTGTGAATTCAAAACTTCCTATGCTATGTCCTAAAATATACTTAAGGCCACAGTTTATGTGAACAAAAAGTAAATTCACACAAAGTTCTGGAGTTGTGTATTTGTTGGAACAATACTCATCGTTTTACACCTATAAGCACACAATATTATACAAGACAGTAAGCACTTTACAGTAATACAGGTCTTAAATTTTTTTTGGAAATAAAGTCAAAGCTGGAGAGAAGAATGGAAACATTTCCCCTCCTCTTTGCCTCCCCTAAAGGGGATTCATCAGGACCAGAATTAGTACAGAAGACAAGTGAACAACACTGATTTTTATTTGTAAGTGTTACAACACAGCCACCACAAAACTTGAAAGACCTGAACAAAAGAATTGCATAGATTTAAAAAAAATATTTTTTTTTAGGCCAAAGACTCTCCATTCAGTGTTTGGCACAAAGATAGATAATAAGTTTCACTGTAGATCTGTAATTCTTAAGAAAGAGAACAACACATTTGGTTTATCTACTATGCAAAGCTAATATACAGCTGTGATTTTTTTCACTCAAATACTGGAAGTCTTCCGGGAAAGACTTCTTTGTGCTTTGGTTAAGAACTTATAAATCAAAAGCCTAAGTGTGATCCTTTTACAGAATTACATTCCTGGAAATGCATACAGTATTGTGTGCCACACCCCTCTGATAGAAGGCACAACATATGAAAAGAACATTCATGAAAAAACAGAAGCCAGTTCTGAAAGGATAAGTGACACCCACTAATGCTGGTGGATTTTTAATTTTATTTTTTTTTTTAAATCTGGGCAAGACCTCCTCTTATAATTTCTTCACTTCCCCCCAAAAAATCTGTAAAGTAACTTCAATATTCATAAAATGAAAACTTTTCCAGGCACAAACAATTGTAAGGAAGAGAAACATGAGCCAATACAGTTTTCTATTGGTGCAGAGTTACTTTACAAATGAATGTGAGAGTAATCACTATCCCTCCAGAAGCCATGTGTCAGCAAGCAGCAAGTGGTTACAGGCAACTTTTTTTTTAAGCTTCATTCTCCCTGCAGACTTGAGGTCTAGACAACAAAACTGTATGTGGCAGTAAAGCTGATCATTTTGTCTAAAGTGCTTGATGAAAGCAGGGAAACTATAAAAATGATAAATTAGTGAAACCAAAAGTGAAAGAGTTACATTTATCATACAAAACAAGAAAAATTGGAGTGTTTTCACATTTTCTTCTTCCATTAGACAAGATATAGCAAAAAGATCCTTCACAATGAACAGCTCCCTTAAAGTGTAGATAGTTCATTACACATTTTCTCTTGCATTTCTGGATACAAAGTAATTTGACATAAGACTCAGGAACAATATTCCAAAAAGGAAAGTATTATTATGACTCAGAAATGAAGATTACATAGCAAGTTTTAGTTGGTAAAAAAAAATCTTTGGGAAAATGCTATTTAATACTTCCAATAACTTTAAATGCCCCAATACTATACATTTTACAGTAGAAATGCAAGAGCCTTTGGAACACAGCAATGCTTGGTTCTGTGCATGTCTCCTCTTAAGACATCATCTTTTTCTTACATTCCACTGAGCAAAAGACCATCCCTTCCACGGGCATGAACTTCTGGCCAATTAGACACTTGCTGCAACAGGAACACAAGAAGCATTCCTGTGTAGCATGCCAGTTGAAGTTGTTGTATGTCACACGCTGAACTTCTGGATCTATAGCATTATGACAGCCTTGGCAGATCTGTTCAGAAACAAAATGACACTGAAATGAAGCATACACATCCTCTCTACAAGTCCAATAAAAGCTGGAATTCTTAAATGTTTTTGGAAAAGAGAGGCAAGTGTTAGAAGAAGCCTTTGAAATAAGTCTTAAGTTTTTGATTTTCCTTTATTTTAAAGAAGAGATTCCAATCATAATGCAATCAAGGACCCAAAACAAAATAATAAAAAGCACAGAAGTTAGTTGCTGCTGGGGCTAAACTTATGATGGTTAGGATTTCCCAGTGCCCAAATAATGTTAAAAACCTGTGCCAAACAGCAGGGATCTTCATATATTAACCCATACAGTTCAAAAGATTAGTTACAAATCTTCCTGTGCAGCTGTAAAGCAATACCAAAGAACTAAAGATTACTAGGAAGTCTTGGATGTAATTCATCTTAAAATCTGGTTGCCAAAAATTATCATTTGGATCTCAAGGGAGATAATGTTTTAAGAGGAAAAAAGCCTCTCCAAAAGATAATTCCTCACACCTACCACAGAAGATTATTAACTGCCAGCTGGAGATAACAGTTTTTCCCTCCATTAACTATATAAAACAGTCTAGATGCACATTAGCCTGAACTCCCAACTAACAGCTAGTTCATGGGTAGATATGAATGGGACCATCATCTCAAATCAGACTCCCTAGGAATCAAGAACTACCATCTTTTCTCAGACTTCTAGCTTTATCCTGTCAGTCGCTCTCCTTTATAACTCATTGGGTTAGAAATACAAAGAAACAAAGTAGCTAGATTGCAGTTGCAACTACAGGCTTTTAGCAGAACAGCTGAGGCTGAATCCTGCTGGTCACAATGAACTATGATTGACACAAAATAAATGTTTAGCAGCATTGCTCATCTTCACCAACCTTCCTCCTCTTGCTACAAAATCCTGCTTCACTACTGGCAAAGTTAAAGGTATTTTCAGAACAGCCTCCCCTGTCACCAGTGGCATTTGTTGTCAATTCGAATTGACAATATACCTGTCTGCTTTTAAGGTTGGTTGGGGTGGTTTTTTTTTTTTGGTTTTTTTTTTTTACTTCAAAGGGGAAAAAGATGATCGACTTGAACCTAAACTTGCATTCAGTTTATAGTCAGATACTCCCACACTGGAAGAAAGTAAGAGTTTCAAGCTCTGTAAATGTATGTGCCCTTCTTTCACAGCACCAACACGTCTGTAAGGAACTTACTGCAGCATGGTTCTTCACATAGCAGGGTTTGCAGACTGGCTTGTCATTCACCATTACATAGATTTCCCCAGCCAAAACACAATCACAGTCAAAACAGCAGAAGTGTTTCAGGTGCCAGTTTTGACCTTCTGCTTGAGTATATTCATTGCTGAATATCAACTATTAGGAAGATAGAAACAAATATTAATATATGCATTTGAATAAAGACATCCTCAGGATAGTTCATAATTTCCAAGGAACTCCTGATGATTCCACAGTCTCAAATTATTTCAACAACAAAATGAATGCATTCACTTGTTTGATTGTTTCCCAGAAGCTTCCATTTCATTTTTTGAATCAATAGATGCTGAAGACACCAGGCAGGCTGCTCTCTGTATGCTGCACAAGGTGTAATTTAGTAAGGCGCTCCCCCTAGTGACCCTTCATGGGGAAACAACTGCGTAACTGGGTCTGCACAAACATTTGCACTCATGTACATCCTATGTCTCTCTAGACTGCACAAAATCCCCATCAAATCCAAAGCAAACTATGGATCTTCCTGAATGTGGAGTGTCCATATCAGTTTCAGTTCCTCGCAACTACAAGTAGCTAAAACTGGTGAAGTACGTCATCTCCCTGCACTTACGTGATTACTAAAAATCTTCTCAGGGGAGCAAACCTGTGTGCCAAAACAAAGGACTAAGATTATTTCCTACCTCATCACATCCAGCACAGCGGGGTTTTTCGCTATCACAATAATGTCTTCCACAGTACAGGTTACCATTCTTCCAGAAATAGATCATATCTACTAGAAGTTCACTGCAGGTGCAACAGACAAAACAAGCTGGGTGCCACAATTTGTCATACCCAGCACGTTCTGCGTAGACAGCTGGGTCACCTTCTTTCATGTTCAGTTTGCAGCGATAGCAGGACTGAAAAGAGGTTATTACCAAGTTAAGTATGTTTTTGAAGAGGTACATTTATAACAATTACATATTACTGACATTTAATAAATACCACCTTCCCAGACTGAAATGAAAGCATTAGTTTACTCCCATGACCAGACAGTGGTGTGACATGATGCCACAGGTACAGGTTTAACTAAACAATTCAAGGTGATGCACATTCTACTAACATAGCACTAGGGCTACTTAAAGGGATTATTATTTTTTGCCATATTCACATTCTTGCAACTACAGTCTGGTTCTTAAAAAAACCCCAACAGGCAATTAGAATTAATTTTATAAGCCTTACATACTCGCGAATAAGGAGAGAATAAGGAGACTCCAAAACTAACTACGACTAGAACACACTAGAATGGCTATACTTATAGGTCATGACAAGGTCAAGACATATCTGCATCACTAGTAAGAAAAAAAAATAAAATTGTTAATATTTCAAACTGATCCCGTTTAAAGCTGTGTTCTAGGGATGCTAGTCACTAATGGCTGCTGTCCAACAGTTTGTGATTAATCTTAGGATGGGGAGAATGATTATCGCAAAGGAAATACAAAGTTTATGAACGCAGTAGCTACACCACAAATATATAGTTCCAGAAAGTTCAGTCAGTCTTCTGCCCTATACCTGCTTACAGAGGCGGCTTTGTCATCCAGTCAAAAAACACACGTGGTTTATGTTACTGAAACAAAAATTTTTATCTACAGTTTAATCACCAGTTTGGCATTTCCTGCACTCCAGTTGGTCTGTGGACTGGGCTGAACAGCTTGGGAAGGTTTCCTCTATGATTCACATCACTACAAGCCCAGCCACAAATGGCTTTTTTACTTGTGTATGTGCATATGTATAAAAAAGCCCAAACATATAAAGTGTCTCGGCTGTAAAGCACATTGATCAGATCCCCACACTTGTTTCACACAAGCAATTTCAAAATACACATAGAAAGACATCAAAAGGGAAGGAAGAACAGTTTGGAACAGAATGAAAGAGGAACTAACGAAAGGGAAAGTGTAAATATATATGCATCTAAAGCTTTTTGTCTCTACTTCAGACCTCATACTCCACGAGGAGTCAGATTGGAAGGTTTAGTAGTTGGACCCAGATGAGGGCAAGGCATTTATCTACCATATGCAGGATCCCCAGCCTAGGTGGTTAGAAGGTGCATAAAGAGATTTGCTTCTTTACAAGATGAAAATACGCTGAATATCAATTTTTCTGTTTTTCAGCTTTCAGTCATGGTGAAATGCATTTATTTTTTTTAAACACAGAGGCAATTATTATAGGTATATTTACATTAATAGTGGAGAGCTCATTGTTTACATTTTGTTGTTTTTTAATGAGGTTTAAAAGAATTGCAATCCATTCCTATAATTAAAATTAATTTTTCAAGAGATTACATTTACCACAGCTACAGGAATACATGCTTTCAGACTTAGTCTGAAAGACAACATACATGAAAATTTGGAGAGCAAAGACGCAGAACTAATGGACAGAAAAAAGTGTAGTCAAGGACGGCAATTCTTCTGCAAGGTATTTAGAGCTCTTCTCTGCATTGGTTTATTTTGAACTGTTAAAAAAAAAAGAAGTTGAGATAACGCTATGACATGTAGCTGATACTAAGTCACACTGTAGAAATCAGAAAAAAAACCCTAAAAATAAATATATATTTAAATTCTGACTATTTGGCCCAGGGTAAACTCAGTACCTAACAATAGATAAGCAACTGACATGTTAACTTACACTATGAAACACTTCGAAGTCTCTTTCTAAATCACTGCCCACAGTGATGAGACATGCCTGGCTCAAACGGTAGGAGGTATACTCAGGTACTTGGAAGTGATCAGTAGATGTAATGTAAAAATGAAGCACCTTTAGATACAATTATTCAAGATGTCAGAGTGCCTCCTGCCCTTGACTTGATGTATCCCAAGCCAGTTAGCCAGCAGGGTACAACAGAAGATGTGTATTCCTGTAGGTCTCTTTCAAGGAGACAGGCAAAGAATTGCTGTGGTGAAACTAGAGTAACTCAGCAGAAGAGGCTGAGTTAAGACAAAATGACAGCAACCCAATCAAGACATGAAAAATTAACTTCTTAGTATCTTAGAATCTCTATGACTAGATAATGGCAAAAATAACTGAATAATTAATTTTAGAAAGTAGCTACAGGTAACCAAATGGCACAGCATATGATTGATAAAAGCAAGTGGCCATGTTCAAAGCTAAAACTTAAGTGTTGGGTTTATATTCCATATGAATTACATCAAAAGTAACACACTGTCAGTTTAAAACACAAACAACAACAAAAACACACAAAAAAGCACACCACAACCTCCGATAACACTGAAAGTCATATTCTACAACCATGTTAACAAACTTTTATCTCCATCTAGAACTTGTATATTCATTTCCTATAAGTGACCTGGAGACAACTACATTTTGGTATTCACACATATAATAGCAACATTTCTGGAAAACAAGTTACAGCAGCTTTTGCCACTCTGAAATGAAGGTCTGTCTTCACTAAACGAACTTAATGTTACTTCAGTAATCCTACCCGTATTTTGTTTTCATGATTGGTAGCAGAGACTTGCACAGCAGAGATTAGCAAGTCATGTCAGAAATACTTTATTAAGGCCATAGTTTTAGAAATATCAGTCAAAACTGGGTAATTTTACACAGCTTACTTCTTGTTCTGCTATTACAAGGCAGAAATCAGATGCCAAATTAAAATAAAATATATCAAAATCCTTTTCTTGAATAAAAAAAGAAGGCTAGTCAAAACAGCCATTATACAGCTTGGCTTGTTGAACATGGAAGGGACAGGTGTTACTTTATTATTTCTTAGTTTCTTTTAATTTTAAACAGAATTCGTTAAGTGGATAATTTTGGTGCTCTTCCAAGAAAGAGGAGACAGGCTTCTAAAATTAAACTAAACTCTTCAAGAGGAGAAAAGTGCAGCAATTAGTTCATAAGACTACACAAGTTTCTTGATTATTCTGTGAAAGCCACCCTGCTATACTAGATTTCCAAACTAACATGTTTTTGCAACAAGGATGAAAAGGTCCCCTAGGAAGTTATTTGCTGTAATGCACTAAATACTGTCAGAAACCAGGGTTCTGTGCAGACAATCACAATGTTTTACAGTTCCCCTTCTTTCTTTCCCTCCCCAGATATTCACTATTTCAAGTTAATAAACAAGTTAATTGGGTTAAAATGACCAAAGAGAGTACTCAGATGGCAATATACCTTCTTGTTTTATCCTTCTTGTCTTTTACTTACATACTGAGATGCCTTCCGATCTGGGGACTTGTTCTCCATAGCTCCTACAGCAGCTGAAGTGCCTCTGTCACCACTGTTCAAGTGATTCTTGTCAGTAGCTCTTGTTTCCACTTCACCAGGGAGCTTGACATCTCCTACGCCGAGCGCCTCATTTTTGTACTTCTTCACAAATTGTTCCATCTGCTTAACCTCATTGGGGGAGAGCTCGTGGCATTTTGAAGGATCCTGATCGTGAGCAGGCAGCTGCTTAGCCAACTGCTTCTTCCTGTACTGTGCGCCTTCCGAGCCAGCGACAGGCTGCTTCTCCTTTGGTAGCATCTGCATATACTGTCTAGCCTGAACCAGGAGGAATTAAGATATCAGATGTCACTTCAAATATAGACCCATCCTTTTAAGCAAACACACAACTAAAATAATCTCTACTGTTCTTAGTGACAGTCAAATTTGTCAAAACCAAGGTTCTTTCTATAAACATGGAAACACAGTAGATGGAGATAAAATACAGCAGATGCATTAATTGGCTTCTTCCCAGAGTAAGAGACAGGCTTCCTTTTAATTCTTTTACAACACGCAGAATAGAGTTACTACTTCTCAGAGTAAATAATAACATTTATAGAGCACCTAGTCTCTTCAAAGCTATCTAAAAATACTGATCATCAGTATAGCTTTAAAAAAGTAGAAACTGCAATAGTCTGCCTGGGGCACAAAGCCCACTGCAGAAATAATTCCTGGTAAATCAAGGAAAAAAGCTCTAGTTTTAATAATGCAAAGATAAGCCTAAAAATCTGAATGTTAAGTAACAGTGCTTTAGATGCACAAGTTTTGATTAATTCACTGAAAATGGTATTTTGAAAAATAGGTCACAGATAATGTAATTCCAGCATGGATCACACAACTACTGCAGTACAGTAAACTAGCAATCAAAGTTTGAAAACTGAAGGAAAATCCTCACAAGGCTATCTACCATGTCATCTACTTCTGCTGAAAACGTACTACAAGAGAGCTGTTCTTCCAGATGTCGACACTGACCTTGTTCTTACCATATACAGTAAAAGCTATATGCAGGACTGTGTGTTCCCCTTAATTTTTAAACCACAACATAAATTATTGTAGTATTGTTTTTTCTTTTTTTTGCTTTTAAGCCCACACTCTGTGGCAGGTGCACCTGCGCGATGAAAATGGGGCTTCCTGGCTGCTGAAATGTAGCGCCTGTTGATTTCCTTTTTCAGTGCTCTTGTTCTCAGGGCTTTACAGCAATTGGAGTCCTCAGGGCTGATACTGACCACAGATCAGGTTTGGCTCGGGTATAAATGGAGTCCCCTGGAGCAGTGGGGCTGTGGCTAAGGACTCTCCCCTTGGGTCAGGATGCCACCCAAGGAAATTCCTTAAGCTTTCCTCTATGAGTTGGGATGCTACCCTAAAAAATTCTCCAAGGTTGAGAGCCCTCATTTTTTTAGGTGAGTGACTGATTGTTTTGGGCCATTGCTAAACCCTAGGAGTTTGTGCATTGATAGTTTTGTTCTCCTCTCACAGACATCTGAACCTGTTGCAGAGCGCTGGTCAACTGTGTTGAAAATAAATTTTATTTTGATTATTATTTGCTTATTTGAGAGCTTCCACAACACTTCAATTGGTGTAGTTGCAGGATGTTGGTAGAGGAGTTATTACAGAGGCATAGTTGTGTATCTTCTCCCCCAGGTATACAATGGGTGAAGGAGAAGTGGTTTGATCTGGTAGCAGTTGTAAAAAAGTTGGAACAGAGCTCCAGAAGTTTTGGAGATGGGAGAAGTAAAGGAAACACATGCATCTTCTTAGGTACCTGTGTGATTCAGGTGTAAGATTACTTTGCAGTAGTGAAGAAAGATAATTTAGAAAAATGATTGGAAATTGATTGTTTAAGGACAGAATTGTTAGGAGAGAAAGAAGGTGGCTATTGGAACAAAAAACTGAAATTATGTTGGCATGAGAAAAAAAAAAAAGTGCCAGTATTGTCCAGATTAAAAAATTAATTACAAGTGTAGACCTTGAGGAGTGAAATGAGGACATCTGATGAAAGTAGTTTGGATGAAAAAGAGGAATTGGAGGAAATAAATGTACAACCACTCATTCAAACAGAAAGGCGTATGGGTCCACAAGGCAGGAACCCCTGAAACACTGTCTGTATGAACTCCTGGACAGGACCTGAGCTTAGCAAACTTCACACTAAGTTTTTGTGTAAGCCAGGTGAAACTGAAACAGAGTATTTGGGGAGGGTTTCTTTAAGGGGGTTGGGGTAGGTGGGAATCAAATTCTGTTGAGTGACAATGAGGTGGGAGGGTTCTGGAGTGTTTTTAAGTGACAGGCCAACAGGTAACCAGTCAATAACACCTTCAGAGGCTTACTGGCTGGGGGTGTAGACCTTAAGAAGGGGGAACCTATTACTATCAAGGTGAAGGGACTGTCAGAATTGGCAGTGGGAGCACAAAAGGCTTCTTATATTCAGACAACGTATGAGAGGGAGCAGTATGGAATACTGATTGCTGCACTCGTGGGCCCCAGCCACCTTAGACCTCTCTTTAAAGATACATGTACAGTCCCTTATAGAAAGGGTGCAAAGCACCACTGAACCAGCTGAACTCTCCAACCCCTTTTCTGCTTGTGTTAACATGGGTGGAAGCATTACATGACCTGGTTTCCTGGGGGCTTGAGATGGGATGGATTGACCCAGGTGGTGGCATGGACAGAAATTGGAAGGTTCAGAAGTCAGTCAGAAACTCCACCCTGAGCAGTCTCCTTGCAGGGAGTCTGAACTGCCTAAGGATAGGTCAAGATCACCTTATGATCTAGGAAGGAATGATCTCTGGTGGAAGGCTTAGTACTGGGGGCACTACTGGAGGGAAAACCTGAGAACAAAAGGAAATGAAGGCAACCATGCTCCCTCAAGAAGAGGAATTTAACCCTTCTGTGACATCAAGAGAGTCAAAAAACTAGATGATGTGGTTTAGGGGTTAGGCCACCTACCCTGCATGGTGAATTCTATCAATGGTCTACTGACAAGAAGCCTTATCCCTGTGAGTCCCAGATGGGTAAGTTTAGAATTTTTAACAGATCTAGGGGCCCTAATTTGGGGCCCCTAATATCTTAGACAACAATCCACTGAGTTAGGATTTAAACCATGGAGGAACATTATAAATGTGTGACATGTCCTACAGTGTGAATGCAGTTTTGATTACCAAGGGAAAAGAGGATGACAGCTGTGGAGGCAGCTTTAAGCCCTTATAAGGGAAATATATTAGCATTTGATGTTTTGACAGGTAAACAGTGGTGTTTACTAGATAGCAGAGCATGAAGTTTTGGAGGGAGAGGGACTAGGGTGACTCATGTAAGGATTTTGTATGTTGCTCCTTTATTACTGGAATCTAAAGTAACGCATGTCTCTCAATATTTATTGCCAACTGCTGTCAAACAGGATATTTTACAGATATTTATGATCTCTCTTTTCTCAAGATCATTGTCATATACATTCATTCCCCTTATAATTCTCCAGTTTGGCCAGTCCATAAACCAGATGGGGGGTGGTGGCTAACAATTGATTATCGGGGACTGAATAGCAACGTTCCACCTTTAACAGGTGCTGTCCCAAATATAACATCAATAGCAACAGCAGAGGCAGCTGCTCATCCATGGATGACTCTTTAGATGTTAAAGATAGATTTTGGTTAGATTTTTTTTGATTCCCCCAAGGAAAAAGGATAAGTCTTAGTTTGTCTTTACTTGGGAACAGACACAATATACCTTTGATTCCCACAATATAAACATTTCCTCACTATTGCTCATAATGCTTTGGCCAAACTTCATGGTGGAAGTGCTGTCAGATGTCCATGTGTATCAGTACATAGATGACAGTTTGGTTGGTGGAGATCCTAAAGAACTGGTAGGGCAAGTAGTTGAAACCATTTGGGACATGTTAACTAAGAATAGGCCCTCTAAATGTCAAGATCCTGGGAAAGAAACTTTTTAGGAGCTTGGTGGGTGGCTTGAGCAGTTGCAGTACCTGATGATACTCCATTAGTTATTGAAAAGGGAAAAATTGTAGGTAATAAGGCAGATTTACAGCAGCTGCTAGGTATGTTGGGTTACTGGAGAAAGCATATACAAAGGTTTTTGGTGATTGATCATCTTTTGTGATCTGCTTTGGAAAAGCAGAGTGAGGTTGGACTTTACAGCCAGAGACCCCCAATATGTTAAAGGACAAACTTAAGACTTATTGGAGATTGGGGCCCTTACTCCAACAGGATGCACTGGGGGGAATGGGGATTTGCAGAATATGCCTCCAGCTATTGAGGTGTATTTCAGAAGGGACTGTGGGGTCCAGCTAAGTCTTTGCTATTTTCTTCTGCTTCATTTAAGGAAACTGAGCAGCAGTATTCAGAGTGGGAAAAGGGGCTTCTCTCAGTTAGTAGGGCAGTTAAGGAAGCAAAGAGGTTATACACCACACAGGATATTGTTGTACAAGGCCCCTTCCTTCTTTTAAATTTGATTCTTAAGGGATCACCTCCTTGTGAAAGGGTAGCCCAGAAGGCCACAGTATATAAGTGGTATGCTTATTTAGAGAGAGTTAGTTACTGCAATTAAGAGAGGGTCCAGTTAAAGTCTCCAAACTCTAACAGGCTATAAATCCAGATTACTCAGAGGAAAAAGATCTGCTATGAGTGTTGGTCCCAGGGGTGGCCCATGTCAATGAAGATGTATGAAGCAGTTCTTATGGCTTGTCTGCAACATCAAGTGAAGGTTAAGGCTAATCATCCAAACCAAGCCATGGCCCAGCATATTAAACATGGTAAGGTGCTCTGGAGCACCCAGCAAGTTGATCATATTGGTCCTTTGAATCCATCTCATGGAAAGAAATACATCTTGGTAGGAGTAGAGGTGGTGTCAGGACTAACTATGGCTACAGCTGTTGGCACATCTACCAGACACCAAGCAGTGAGTTTTGCAAGGATGGGTTAGTATCTTGCCCATCCCTGATGGTATTCAAAGTGACAACAGATCATGTTTCACAGCTAGAGTGGTGCAAGACTGGGCATGAGAAAAAGGTATCAGATGGGTGTTTCATACACTGTATTATCCTCAGGCCAATGGCACAGTTGAGTGGACTGAAAGTTCGATTAAGAGACACGTCAATGTCTCACAACATAACTGGAACAGAGTTATCACAAGTGGGCTTTTTATTGTTATTAACTGCTGTAGAAATTATGGGAACCCACAGATATGAGCATTTTTTCCTATGGGGTTACTGGATGGTGATACTCCTATATTTAACAATCACAAGGGCCAGTTCCCATTGAAAATAGACGTAGGCTAACCTGTTATTGTAAAGTTACCTTTGACTGGCATTGTGCCTATGACCTTAGTAAAACCTAGGGGTTTACATGCCTGGGAGGCCTCAGATAAAAGTGGAAGAACTCACCATATTAGTGCCAAATGGATAAATTCCTGACTTTTAACTTGATGCCTGAGTTTTAATCAGAGGCCTTAGTTCTGTTTTCTTTTAGGATTTTGGAAAAGCAAATGGTTTTAGCATCCCTACTAGCAACTGATCCATATGGACAATCAAAATGTGGATAATACCACAGTGGTGAACAAGTTTTGTGAACTTGGCGTTTCAGAAAAACATCATTGAACTTGGTGTTATTAAGGGAAGAAAGTGTATTTGTCCTAACTGTGCTAATGTCATTTTAGGTCAACAAATGAAGAAAGTGGCCAGAGACTCAGTGACTGTTGCTGTATTAATCATTAATTGATTGACCTAGATATATTTGAATTTTCTTTGTTAGAATGATTAGTTTCCTTCAATTTTGTTTATAATAGATTACATTAGTGTTTAAGTAGTGAAGTCCATGTTAGAGTACATGTTTTGAGATTTGTTTATGTAACCATCTAGGAATGATGATCCACAAGAAGCACTGAAGCCTTACTGGGACTGCACTCCCTTTTAACCTTGGAGGCAAGAAGTGACTGTGCCACCACTTCAAAAAAAACAGTCAAATCATGACTGTGGTCATGGGGTGGACTGCATGCATACATGCAAATTTTTCAAGTTCACAAAAAAAAGGCAGGTTAGAGAAATTGAACTCCAGGGATTTATCAGATAATGCTTAATCCTATCTATTATAAACCACCTCATCTCCCCACTTCAAGTATTTTTAGACAAGCATCTGTATCTGCAAGATGACAGAGGCAAGACTCATTAAAGAGTATTGTCAGTTTTGAGGAAAAAGAAGACTACAAGAGGCAAATTTATCCTTCTGGTAAGCTCTACTTTTAATCTCCCATCAAGTCTTGCCTTGAACATGAAGAAAAAGTGAGTTGGACTTACAAGTGTCTGATTCTGAACGGGAGGAGCCCACTCATAAGTCACAGTATTGATGGATATGTTCTTCTTGGCTGGCACAGGATTAGTCAGTATCATTACATTGCGTTTATACATGGGAATGCTGTCATTCTTCAGCTTTGCAATAAGGGTTGTGTATTTTGTATCTTCAAAGAGTTTCCCCACTTTCCGATCTTCCTCATTGCTTGTGAGGACATCATGCTCTTCCTGGCCACATTTGCAGTTGCGGCATATTTTTCTGAAATTTATAGAAACAGCAACCAAGTTAGTCTCAGCTGAAAATTACATACCACACATGCTGAATGCATTGTATTATAACAACATCACTGGGAACCCAAACCCATGTTTTCAGTGCTTTGATTAGGGAATACTGCAGAATAACTTACATATGTCAAACACCTCTTTATTTCTCCTGTTGTCTTAAGAATATCCTTATTTACATTCTTTGTTTGCAGAGACATAAAATAAATATCAACTACACAAATGCATTTTGAATATGATGCTCTATCATTCCTTCTGGTACCGAGATGTAACTATTACACACATGTTTTATCACCCATCTACCAGATTTACTATGGGTAATCACCCATCAGTTAACTTAAATGCATCAACATGATCCCCCCCAGTAATAATTTAATTGAGCTTTTAGTTTTTCAGGTTCTCTTCACACATTCAAAATTACACACACTATACTATTTTCTTCATACGGATTTCACTGTATCCACAATAGTTGGTTATCACAGGGTTGCTATGAAGTAGAAACAAGTATTTCCTAGAAAGGAAAAGAATGCCTATAGCCATATATACAGTGTAGTTGCAGCAAGTTCTGTTCAAAGTTCACCATTTAAAAGAGAAGATGAAAGTAAAAAGTTTATATGGACAAAGCCTTTCTAACAGCTGTGAACCAAGTCAGAAGTATCCTGGCACGTGCTGTTCAGAGAATTTTTCACAGATAACATCCTTAAAAGGTAGAAGGTTTTACTTGGATATAAACAGTATTCTTTCACATACAACACATTTGAACTCCTTTGATTAAAGGGATATTAGATAGCAGTGTATTACCTTAAGCATAATTAAGCAATTCACATATAATAAACAGAACCTTGGCTTAGACAAGCTAGTTTACTATTTTATTAATCACTTCCCCAGAACTTCAGTATATGGAAATCAGTGAAGCTGGATGTTAACTAAAGGTTCTTATTAGAGCCTGAGAAAAACAGATCAACCTTCTGGATCTCTAGAGTTTGAAGAAGTAGTAATATTTTACCCTGTTATTTATTCTTCACATAGCAAATAGCATAAAACTACTCCATATAACATTCTTCTCAACCCTGCTTGCCAAAACCCATCTAACTCTTGTATTGTTCTGCATCTTGCTTTCTAAAGTCTTGAAGACAAGATGCATGCCTTATCTTAAGGCACCTAACAGGTACATGACAAGAACATGACATGACTGCAACAGGCCCCTTAGGTGATGGGAAAGGAAGGAAGAAGAAATACCTGCATATAACTGGTCATGGGAAGTCATGAATAGCCAGCTCCCCAAGATATGCCCTACATACGTACAGCAGTTTGACATGGGGAACTATCATTGTTTGATGGATGCTGCTCTGGGCATGTGATTACCATAACTTATGGTTGCTGTATAAACTAGTTTATGAAGTTCACTCCAAATAAAAATAGCTAACTGCATTAGAGATGAGCCACTCTAAATAAGCAAAATAAGATCATTAAGCAGAACAAACTGCTTTGCAACACAAAAACCTCAAGATATTTGGAGTGTAGGCTGTCTCACAGCTTTCATGACTTCCAACTCACTTTACAACAGGAAAGATGCACAGAATTTCAAAATTGATACTCATCTGGATACTTAGCAATCTCAGTTTACCGAAACATTCAAACATGAACTAGCATTGCCCATTAAGCCTAAATACTGTACTATGCAGCTGAAACACTTGCAACAAAAATCTTGAAAGGTCTTCAGCATCAGTCTACACAAGTCCTTTACCTAGGTAATTAGAGACTACTTATATACTAATAAAGCAAATTTATATTCACTTTGCTCATCTTTTAAAGTGTGAACATGATTATACCTTATTACCAACTCTGTCATGTCTTCTGAGATCCAGTATGAGGTGACAGAATCAGACCTTACTTTTTGCAGGTTTAATTCATTACATCACCATGACCATCATGCAGCTATATGCCTCACAGCACACATGCAACTTGAATTCAAGTAGATCATCCATTTGAACTATTTTCTTCACTTTTTCAAATTAAGTCTTTAGCAACATTTAGCAAAACCCCCTAGTTTTAGTCTTGCCTCTTAACAGGAGGTGATTGAATAATGTTGGTGAACGAATAGACATTCTCAGGTAACCTGCACAGACTCATGCAAGTATAGTCTCGCTGTCCAGAACTGCTCTGTTTGCAAACCAGAACTCAGTAAGAACAATTCATATTGTTGTACTGCCTGTGTGGTCATAGCAGCTGCATGACAGTTTGTGCAGCTCACCCCACTCCATACAATATCCAGCTACAGCAAAGCAGCATCAACAACTTGCAGAGACTAGACCATTCATAACAGCTATGGTGGAAGTCTTCCCCTGAGACTGTCACACTGGAAAAGCCGCAAGGGCACCTTATTTTTGCTCATGCTACATGAAATTGCATTTGGCCTACACAGAGTTTGCAAAAAAGCTGTTACAGAGGCTATGTTACATAGTTACACGTGTAGTGGTCCTGGCAATTAGAGCTTGTGATAATTAATCCAAATGCAGGAGAAAGCAATCCAGGGAGAATGTGAAGAATGCTGACTCACAACTGATGTCAGTGTTTCTCAGTAAACTGAAGGAAAGTCCCCGAGGCTGTTGCCATTTCCCCTCCGCTCCTTAAGGCTCCCCTGAATCTCAGCCACATGAAGATGTCTGTACACTGCTAAAAGCCAAAATAAGGTTTCCTGTCCTGATTTAAGATCCCTTTTTCTTGAATAATTTTCAGTCCTAAGAGATATCTGAGTGACATTATACACATAACTCTTCCTGCATAGTACTGTTTACAATTTAGTCATACCTTCTTCCACTTGCCATATCAGAGGTCAGTTCATTTATCAATGTCCCTTCAGCAGAAGTGATATGGCAAATTACTTCTACTTAGAACAGATGGGCTGGTTATTTCTTTGACTACAATACAGCTATCTTAATGAAACTACCCCATCCCATTACCTCAAACTTAGACTCCACAAGTCTGATTACTGACACCTGATTTTTATTTTTGGTGTTAAAGCAAACACCTCACATGTGCCACAAAAATCAGTTGCTATGATACCCACAGACACAGACATATATATATATAAATATATAATATGTATAGACAGACAAATATATAAAATATGTATAGATTTAACTATCTCCTTTGGCTCTATCAAGACAACAGGCAGTGAGAATTTCTTGTCCTCTCCACCTGCATTGTCAAAGAGATTTTCCCTTCACTTGAGGGCATTCAACAAGATCTCTGCTGAAGAGGGTATAAAGGACTCCTGATGATGTGTTCACAGCTCTCAGGACTTCAGCAAAGGAGAGGAGTGTTCCTCCAGCCAAATCTCAGCAATCTGGAAAGTTTTTCCCCTTCAAAACATAGAAGATATGGAGAAAACTTCAAAATATGCAGAATGAAAAGTTGCATATCATTGTAAAATGTACTAGACTGTGCCTCGATTCCAGGTCTTGGGTGAGTAGAAGGAGGAAGAAAGAAGGTAAACAGATTACACACTCTTCCCCCAAGCTAGTGAGTTCCTGTGTCCTGGAGGTCTACTAACAGTAAGGATCAAAGACTTCCAAGTTCCTTCTCCAAAACCAGATGTCAGCCATCCTCCTACTTTTCTGTGGTTTGGTGTATGGAGAGGAAAAAGAAGTTGGATCATTACTCTTCCTATACTGGCTTTGCAGTGGCTCACATTGACAGGAGGCAGCAGCTGCAAGCACACAGCAGCTCTCAACAAATACAATGTAAGTCCTGAGGCTTGTCCCCTCCACACAGAAAGACTAATCTTTTCCTATGATTCCTTCTGTTTTCTTTCTATTAATGCAGCTATAGTAATTGCAAACATTTTGAACTGTGCCTCGGTACTTTCCTGTCAGCTGTAGTATCAGAAACTGTTAAAGCCAACTTAAAGCTCTCCATGCCTTCCAGTGATTGTATCTGTGCAGAGACACAGATGCTGAAAAAGGCCATTTCCAAACTTAAGATTCTTGTCTCCAGAAGCTTTTTAATAGCTTGGCAAGCTGCACTGGAGAAAGGTATCATCTTCTGATATATACACAACCAAGATAAATCAGAACTTTCCCTCCTGCTTTTAGCAACTTCTGACTCTTGTCCCACCCTTCTCTCTAGTGAGAAACATATTCCCAAAAAGCAAACACTATCTGAGCAGAAGTCTTACTGCCAGCCTGGCCTTCAAGTTTTGTGGGGGCATTCTGCAGTCTGAAAGAAGTCTTAACACCTGAACTGAGAAGACACTGCCTACTGCTGCTGCTACACTTGGACACATGATTCTGAGGACAATTTTAAAAGCAAAGAGCTATTAACACACTAAGATAAAGTAGGTAATTGTTTACTGTTCAACTACCACTGTAGACCATGGCTCTCACTGTATTTATTGTGCTCAGCTCACAACACTGAGGCTTTCAGAACTTCAAAGTTTAGAAACAGATTTTACTAATGGCTTTGTTTGCCACCATTTCTATACTAGCCTAAAGTAACAGTTCTGCATCTATATAACTATCCCACACACTGTGCCAAAAATAACAGCACAAAGTACTTAAAGATTACCTTCCACCCCAGGAAAGGTATTTTCCAAGTGCTTCCAGTATAAAGAACAGCGGAGCAACTCAGTGTTAAAACCCTGCTACTAGATAGGTATAACTCGGATTTTTTTTTTTTTTGTGTGTGCACTTTCCAATCTGACTTCCCAAAGGCAGAATTGAGGCCCCTTTGTACAGAAATACAGAAAAAAAAATTACATCTTAGCTCTCTGAGGTACACCAGATATTTCACATATCAGGTCAAGAGTTACACGATCTGCTGGAGCTCCTCAGCTCCACCCAGGAGAGGGCACTGTCTCCCTTACACAGACCACAGCAAGGACTGCTACCTGCAAACACAACTGCTGCCTGTGATGGATCTGGCTGGCATGGAGGTCACTTTCTTCATAATGCCCATATGGTGCTGCACTTTGGATTTGTGGCTAAAACTGCATTGATAGCACTTGCAGTTCTGGCACAGTGTCAAGGCTTTGTCTTTTTTGGACTCTGCCTCCACCTCAGCAAGCAAGCTGTGGGTGGGCAAGAGCTGGGAGTGAGGGTGTAGGGGTGTGTGTGTGCACAGCTGACAAACTGGCCAGAGGGGTACTCCATACTATATAATGTCATGCTCAGCAATAAGACAGGGACAGAAGATGAAGGCAGCAGTGGACACTGCTTGAAGACTGGTTGGGTCTGCTCATGGGAGGTGGCGAATGACCGCCTTTGCATCCCTTGTCTTGTTGCCAGCTTCCTTCACCTATTAAATGGACTTTGACCCACAACTTTTCTCAGTGTTGTTCTTCCTTTTCACTCCCCCACCCTACTGCGAGGGGACAGGGAGTCAACAACTGTGGGGGTGCTTGGCTGCTGGCTGGGCTCAACCCACCACAGCTATTCTTCCTCCCAGGATGCAGCAGTATCTCTTAACTACAATCTCTACTTCAACACCTATCTGAGTAATAGTGAAATTAGTGATTGAACTTGAACATTCATGTTATAAAGACAATATTCTGTCCACTTGTGCTACAGTTTGCTTATAGAGTTTCAGGTTTTAAGGCTAACATGACAGGTATTTGGAATCCATCCCTTTCTGTCCAAGTGGTAGACTCCCAAAATCTCTGTACCATGCAAAGCATAGTTTTTTTTCCTTTGAAAATTCTTTACACAAAACTGATTTCAGACTTCAGATTCCCACCCTTACTGATCCCAGTAGTAATTCTGCTAAAGAAACAGTTGCTTTCTAACCCATTCTTGAATTGCCTTAATGACTGACTTTTCAACTGTTTCAGAAATGTGCCACATTTGTTTGACACTGAGATGATGCTTCTCAGACAACTTTCAACCACCTTATTTACCCTAAACAGTCACTGGTTTTATTTGTTTTTCTTATGTGCTCTTTAATCCACTGCTGTCTACAAGCTCCTGCTTTCTAGGAGAGAGTGCTCTGAGAAGCTATGTATTCAGTACCTGGCACAATGAGCCCTAATCACAGAGGCACAGTAAAATGTGTATAAAAAAAATACACACACAGAAGCAGACACATTCTAACTTGGTAATCATGCTATTATGTAATTAAATCACTTCAGATGTTTTATTTCTTTTTATCTCAAGTTTTTTTCCTGTTAAAGAATAAGCTAGGAATTGCAAGGTCTAATAATGGAAACTAAAAAACAAAAAACAAAGAGTTAAGAAAAAGTTAAGACTGATTTTTTTTTCCTCACCCACTTGTGATTTCCCAGTCACACTGACTCTGAACAAGGAGCTTTCTCTCAAGTAGAAAGTGACATAGTTTCTCGTCTAACCATGGATAAAAAATACTATTTCCTTGTACAATTTATTTTGAAACATAGTCTTTCCATAAATTAATAATTTCTTTTATCTTTAGATGATCACATTTGTGTACTACCACTTCTTGCTCCATATCATTATTTTTAAGTTGCTTCTATAGCTACATATGTAACAAAGAAGCTGTATCCTCATTAACTTATAGCAAGTTTTTGCTGTGGTCTGTTTCTCTGGTTATTTTTTAAACTGAGTCTCAGCTGCAGTCAAATACTTCAGCCAAGATGTAAAAACTCCAAGGCCTTATCTGCACCTGATGCCACTATGGCTGTGGATGTAAAGACTACCTTAAAAAAACCCCCAAAATAAAACCCCACTGCACATAGTTATGTCTGTAGCTAAACAGCACTGGTGAAATGTAATCATTTTCATTGCTAGTATGTGCTAATGTGACTAATTATTTTTATGTCCTTTTCCAGGCTGTTCATGTTGAAGTTTTTGGTTTTGTTGTTTTTTAAATTAGAATCAGTAAACTACATCTTAAAGCACACCCAGTATAATCAGTGAAGTGGGCTAGCTAGATATATACATGAATATACATATATACATCTTGTTTCAGTAAAACAAGAAAGGTCTTAATGAAATACAAAGTTTCTGGAGAAGCAGTGGCACAGACCACAGCATAGACTCACAGACCACAGCATAGACTATCTACGCTACTATCATCAATTCCCATTGGTTTAGGAACAGTGCAAAGGCCAAATACTATCTAACTTGCTTGAATTATGACACCTCTTTTCCCTCTAAGTCGTTTGTAGACATATACAAAGTTTCAATGTGTTTTCAACATAGATAATTTTACCTAAAATCTCAGATCAAAGCTTACATATTTGCTCAGGAGCTCAGAAAACTTTTTATTACTGAGATAAAGCATACTTCTTCCCTGTCATCTCTCTTACTGTAGGGATAGAGATGTTTTTACAAACTTACTTCAATCATTTACTAAACTAAAGCATGTGCTTCAGTAGAATTACTACTGTTGATTTCAGTGCAGATGAAATGTTCATAAGCAATTACATACTTAAACACTCTGTTGTAATGCAGCTGAGAAGCCCTGGCCCTGAACCTAGACATAGTTGTCTTTAAAGCATCTGAATAGCTTAATTGAAAAGAGAACAAAAGCTGTTACTTACATATTTCCATACATGTGCTGAAATCTGCAGTAGAGTCACATCTTAAGAGACATCTGATGTCACTTACCTCCAGAAATGAAGCTCAAATCCTTCACACTTATCCTTGCACTTTAAGCAGGGGGCACCAAATCCTTGCTCATGGCCCAAGCCCATCTGTATACAGATTAAGATGACTACAGTCAGCTTCAAGAAATATGCTGTATGAATGTTCTTACTGCTACCTTTATAATCTTCAATCCATGACTAAAACAACAGATTAAGTATTTGACAAAGATGACATCAGGACAGTATTTTGGAGCCCACTCACCTTTCTATTGTGCCTACATAAGTGACAGTGTTCTCATAAGCATTCACAGGGTTGAGCTAGCAGACAATTAACCTTAGCCAAATCCAAGCATTTTTCTGATGACTTTTCTGTCCAGCCTATCTTGCTCTGCAAGCTTCACACAAGGGAAGAAGCAGATTCTTTGCAGCTCTTACTTAAGTCCGTGGCTGTGAAACCACAGTGAGAGGCCATAAAACCTAAAGTCAAAGGACATTTAACCCAGCTGTGAAGACAAAGTGATTTGCATACAACTTGGCAAAATACAGGAGATTAAGAAAGAAATAAACAGACCCCACATTTATATGCACTAACCTAGGCATCTGATAGATGTTTCCTTTATTTTTAAGTGCCTAGTCTAATATTCCTGAGTATATTTGAGACTGCTCTGATAGTGATCAAGAGGACAACACACCCTTCACAATTACGTTTCAGCTGGACTAATACCAGCTTACTTTCTGAGAAGAAACAGCACAGTTAACAAAAGCAAATACCATAAATCATATGCAAACTGTTTCATGGAAAAAGATTAAAAGGACAGGTGACCAATTCATAATGCAGGAAAAATCTGAGAGAATATGAAAACCAGCATGGAGTAAAGGCCATGTATTCACACAATATATCAACAGATCAGCAAATTTAAGTGAGTAACAGCCACTGGAAGTTTGAGGTGAAAAAACAGATACTAAGCACCATAACTTATACATTCATATAACACAGTAAATTTAAAATGCCTCACTCCCAATTCTTTAAACCTTTGGGGAACGTTGCCCTTAAATCAGACAGATGAAGGACCATGGAACTGCAGCCACAGTTGGGTGTGTAAACTTAGGCTCAACAAGAAGGGAACCCATCCCCACACTCTCACCCTTCACTCCAGCAGCATGAGGAACACTCAGTTAGCTGTGGGTAGACACAGTGGGAGGGATGGTCATCGCAAAGGAGACATCTCACCTGAAGTTTGGCTTTTACCATGAATGAAAAGTGAGCTAGAGCTGACAAGTCCTGCTACTAATCTTAGTTCTGGTGACAATAATACAATGACAGGGTTAATCAGATGCTGTGATACATTTTTACTGATAATTAGTTTGCATTTTAGTCTGAGAAGTCGTAATACTATTGTTGTATGTATAAGGATATAAACAGCTCAACTTTCAACTTGCTTCTGTGCAAAATGAACAGATTATTCACAAACCACTTGCTGAATACTGAACAAATGACAAGACGCAGGAAAGACCATGCTTTCAGTTATTTTTATATTTGAAGGACTGCTGCCTCCACAGTAATTAGACATCCCCAAGGAAATTACAAAACTTCCCTGCAGATTATGGTCTATTTAGAGAGAAGAGATACTTTGGCTGCTATTAAGCTACCACTTGCAACTGCAGGGATTGACAGAAGAACATGGAAATACTGCTTCCTTTCTAATCTGCAAAAAGAAATACAAGCCTGCTGTGAACATGGTGACATCTTTATCAGCCTAAGGACTCAAGTTCACATGCTATAGGCACTAACATGAAGCCAGACCAGTAGACATCTAAAATAATCATAACTTTAAAGATTAAGCTTTCTTTCATCAATTACATTTTCGTTTATGTTGGATATTTAAAGCCAGTGGGTTAATAAAAGTTTGTGTCCACTGAAGATGGGTGTTTACAGGGGTCTTCTGATCTGGAATCCAGAGCCCCACCATACACTTCATGCACACACACCATACATCAGAAAACAAATGACCACTCTTGTCAAGTGACACACAAAGAGAACAAAATGTTGGCCAGGACATTCTCTAAAGAGAAAGAAGCTAATACAACACTCCCCCCCC